TATCGAGAACAACAGTTTTTATTGATCAATTTCACCTTCGTTTCATTTCCACCTTTATATTATTAATTAGCAATTTAAATAAAACCTTTAGCACTAAAAACAAAAATTCTATTTTCAAAATGTTTATTAATATATTCATTGATGACTTGAAGATATCTAGGATTTATTTGTAATCCATAGTTTCATATTTAGAATGATATTTTAAAAATATACTTCTTTTTTACTTAGAGTTTGAATGAATAAAATATTTATAACTGTTTCGTTGAAATGAGTAATTACATAGAATTTCATTTATTCATAGATCAACTGACAATTGAACTGAATAATTGATTAAAAATGTAAACGAAAGAATGAAATAGGAATCAAGGGCGTGAGCGATGAAAACTAGATCGACAGAGTGGTGAAGTATATACTAGAGTGTATGCTATAAGGTTCGTGTTGGTCTACTGTCCTTTTTCTTGACTCCTCCTCTCGCACTAGGCCACCACTTGGCTGTCTCGACGTCAGATTGTACCTGGTTGTCGACACGCGATTTTCTTGAATCTTTCTTGGGCTATCGATCGACGATGTGTACTCATGACGAGGCCATCGGTAGTTGAATTTTTAACCCGATTTTCTTGGTAACTACATAAAATGAAAAGGAGACAAATTGATTTTGGTTGAATGCAAGTTATGTGAGGAGAAAAGTAAGGTGAATTTTATGAAGCCCAAAGGGAAGAAGGTAGTAGATAGTGAAGTGAAATAGATATAGGTAGAAATAATATATGAAGGTGTAGAAGAGAAAATAGTGATCATACATTCGCAAAATTATAACGATCTCGAAACTTGCAGCCTCTGGCACTTTTAGACTTGCTATGTAATTAAGCTGTTTATATTGTACGAAAGCAGGGGACTACAGACCAGCCCCTTTCCACCTTACGTCCCTTGCGGCTCTAAACGATGTGTATTATTCGTTGGCTGCTGCTGGGGTCAAATAATGGAGTGTTTCTGCAGTCGCTCGTAGCCAACACCTCCTTTAATTCGTATTAAATTGTCCGCTTCTATACACGCGTATTACGCTCTCTCTACCCTTCCGATCAAGTTAAACTTCTTTTTACTTTTGTGGTTGGCTCACCCTTTTTTCTATTAACAATGCCTATTAAACTTTCCAAGTAATTCATCAATTGTTGGATTTCCCCTATCATTCAATTTCACGAACGATTAAACTGTTTCAAAATGCGATTGACTGACTTTACATAATGACATGTCGATGATATAATTGATATAAATTATAAAGGATCAATCAGCATTGTTCTTATTACTAAAATGTAACTGGATGAAAATTAATTGAGGACTTTGTTTCATGCTTTACAACAGTTGAATTAATGCGTAATGATGATAATGATGGTAATTAAAATACGAAGATATATAATTTATGTTGTATAATTTAACAGTCTTCAGTATTACTCTTCTCTATAGTTGATAAAGTTAACGAGTTGTTAAGGTGTTGAAATGCACTGTTAAGAATTGTAGTAATTAATTAAACTTTAAATCAAATTATTTTTTACTAATTATATTCTCCATCTATTTTAGTGTAACAGTAAACTTTCTTATATAAACATTCTTTTTTTTAGTTTAAATTAAAAATAAAAAACGAAATATTTTATATCAATAAAAATTTATTAACCGCTAAAATAAAAGAAAAATATGAAGGAAATTATTGATTATGTGGCTATAAATTTATTTAAAACATTCAATTAAGATTCTTTTCAATTTTTACTACCTTTAAAAAACTATCAATAAAAAATGGTTTATCTATTGAGTTAAAATTGGTACCAGTCTGATGAATGCTATATTATTAAATAAAAATCTTGAAAAAATATTCAAACTGCACTGAGATATCTAAATATAAATCAATTGGATAAAGTGAATAATATAAAACTCCACGAGACATGACTGAGTAATCTAATTTTAAAATTATATCCTTCCGTTTTTATATCGTTTCGAGACCAGCATTTTATTTTCGTGTTTCTTTACCTTGATCAGTCTGACCTGCCCTTATTGACCACCCGGATGTACTTTGACCATTATTTACGATATCGTAAATTGATAATTAGGTTTCTGTGGTAAAATTGATTTTATAGTTGAACGGCCGAGGCACTTGAATTCTTTGGGCCTGCAGATACTTTGTGCAGAGTTTCCTCAAGAGGTTTGCTGATTAGGTCGGCTCTCTCGCGAATCAATGGTGATTTAATTAAAGATTATGGACTCACGAAAATTAAGATTAATCGCGCGAAATGAAGCTCCGTCTTTTACGGATGCTCGTACGGGCCAATGGATCATAATTAACTTCGGCTTGGCTGTAAAAATAATGGTTTCTCCAAAGAGATCGACGTGTTAACGTCTAGCCAAGAGCGATAATAATTCATTTATAATAAAGACTTTAAATTAAAAAAAAAAAAAGGTAAATTTAATAAAAGCTTTTGCAGTTATATTTCTTGAGAGATAAAAAAAAATATATTACATATTTTCTTTTCTATTCGTTAGTCATTGCATTATTTTAGCTATGATTTTACCAGCTTCTCTGTTCTACGACGTATCTCTATTAGCTTCTAAATCGGAAAAGTTTGCCGCAGTCGGCTTTGCAGCGAGAGTGAGAGAAAATAAAAAACCGAGACTGAGATTAGAGTAAAAAGATTGGAGTCCGTTGCGGTTGTGTATCTGGCTTAGGTACAAGAGAACCATACAAACTCTACGAGTAACGTTTCTAGCTAATGTAATTCCTCGTTTTGTACGGAAAAAACAAAAACCTTTTACTATTTTTTAACCTTATTCATTATAAATACGATTGTTTACTTTTAATCGTTTTATTTAATGTGGAATTTTTTTTATTGATGACTTGTATGTTTTAACGAGATAAAATAAATCATATCAAATATCAATAAATATTATTGCGCTTCATAATATGATATTTGTTTTTAAAATATGCAAAAATTTCGCAAATTAATTTGAAAGTGATGATTTTTAATTTATTTAATTTTATGATAGAGCATGGTGAAATATTTATTTATTTAATGTTCCCAGAATATTTCAGATTTAATTTCAATGTAAATAATTAGTTATTATTATTTAAATAACATTATAAAGCAGGAAGTGTAAAAAATTTTTGTATTTTTTTTAGGAAGTTCAAATCCTCATTAATCTATGTTACCGTGTTTTTTTTTATTATAAAAAGAGTCAATGGTTATTTTAAAAAGTAATGGACTTTATTCATTTTCCGTTTAATTAGTTGAAATTTTTACAATGAGATAAGTTCAATAGAATGTGTGAGACAGTTGAAGTATATGAAAATCTTCAAAATGAACTAGTAGTAATTCAATATTAGCTAGAAGACAAAGTAAGAATTTCAACTAAATTATATAAATAGATAACAATAGGAATTAGAACGTAGAAGAAATTTTCCTCAGTTTGATTGGAAAAGAATTTCCACAAGTTGAAGAGAAATAATCTCTACCTTTTACTCGAATTGCAAATTGAGAAAAATCGGAAACCCAGTACAGTAAATCCTATCATCACCTGACTCAACTTGCTCCTATATGATCAGACATTTCTTCCGATGGTCCATTTCTATTTGCCACTCGACAAGTGTGATATAAGTACCTAAGGGAGAGAGCTTGCCAAAGCGATCTTGTAGAGAGCACGTGCAGAAGTCGAAGGTCGAGTGTGCGATTTCTAGAAGGCCACGAGAGACGTTTGGCCATTGTGCACGGCTTGGTTCATCCAACACTACTATTCTACTTATAATATAGCACCTTACATTCGTATATATCTCTTTGACTCTCGACATCTTGTCCTCCTTTTCGTAGATATAGGAATCGAGTTCGCCGACTCACAAAGCAATAAGACGACGGCACCACCTGCTCTGAAGTGTTATGAGACCTCTGTTGGTTGTGCTTCTTTTTAGCTCTGTATATGTCGAAGCCGCCACGCGCTATCATCGACTACATCCTTGTCCTCTTATCTAAGCAGCCGCTGGCACTCGCGCAACGACACACGGTCCCTGGAAGTCCCATTACCACCCCCTTAGCATCCCCCTTGAGACTGCAGACGAGGATGGCTCCGGTCGCAGATGGTGCTTGGTCCTGGCTTCTTGCCGATGCAACCCATCTCTTTTTCTCTATGACTGTGCAACTAAGAACGAATATGCCAGCAAACCACGGAGGTGAGAAAACGTTGAGTGAGAACTCGGCACAGACGTAAAACGTCCTGCAATCATCTCTCTGTTATATATGTATTTACATACATACATACATACAATTCTTTCGTTTTTTGAATGCTAACCTTTGCCTGGAAATTATTGTGGAACATGTACATGCTCTATCATACGTATTTTACGACATGTATACATTTATTTTATAACTTTTTATTTTTATTTATTATTGTTACCTACCCGCCACTATGTTATATTTTTATTTTATATCTAGTGATGCATTATGCTGATTTTATTATTTATTCATTATGCAGTCTTACAATTTAATCATGTATTTGAATTTCAGCTTGCTAGTAGATACAGTCAGCATTGTGTCAGACTATGTTCGGATTTTATTCGAGCGAAATTAATCGAGATAAAGTTCTCAGTGATATTTTTCATATCAAATTTATTATTATTGTTGTCATTAACGTTATTTTTGCCAGAATAAAACTGAGTAAAATAATCGATTTTATTCAAGAATAAAAGATTAAAATGTTTTCAAAATCTTGGAAATATTATTATATTTATTTTAATTATTTATTATTTAAAAATGAATGAAAGACAATAATAATTATGTGAATGCAAAAATATTCCCTTTAAATGATAAATAATTGTGACAAATAAATATTTCTTTACGATTTGAAAACAAATATTTCTTTGTTGAGATAAAAATACGATTTTCTCAGTAACTAGTAAACATTTACGATTAGACATTTTTTATTTTGTTCATCTATGATTTTCTTATGATTTATCTATATTTTTGTTACAGGGCTCCCGCGATCATTTTTGGCTAGGCCTTTCCGAGGAGGTTAGTTTGTCTGTTTGGTTTGCAAAAATTAGGATATAGTGTGTAGCAAATTTCCTCTTATAACCGCTCTCTATCTCTCGCTGCATCATTTTTTTCCTGTATATACTTGTTTTTATTTGTAATAACCTCATATTTCTTCTTATGTAACAATGGTTTATCACACCACTTTTTCTCTAAACTCCTCCCTTCACGCAGCTAAATTTTCTTTTAAAAGCTGTATAAAGCGTTGATCGCCCTCTAACATTACTAACATTATTGCGCATTAAGTTGTTCGAAAATGTAATTAACTTTTGGTATTACTAATCCAATTTATTTTAATTCATTCGAATTAAATAACCGATAATAACTGTGTGGGTACATTAAGTAAATGTATGCATAATGCATATGCTAATATATCTTAAACCGTAATGATTATCTAGCTTTAATCCAGCGATTATTAGCACCAGCTCATAACTCCTCAAACTAATTGAAACATTTACAATAGTGCGATATATTTATTTATTTATTTTATCGACTCGTTTGGATACCCTTGGGGTACTGCGACGATGCTATCATTGATACAGTTGGTAAAATCAACAAACAATTCTACCTAAAAATTATTTAACAAATTTTAGTAAATGCAAGATGTGTCATAACTCAAGAAAAGAATCATTAGTTCATGAGTAGTTGATGAATCAATTTTTATAAATCTTTAGAATAAAAATAACATTACTTTGGGACCCTGATAGGAACAAATATTGGAACCCTTGCAGCCTTTGCTTGATCCAATATTGAGCCAATGTAGTTCTGGCCCAATATTGAACAAAAAGTGGGCCAATCTCTGTTCCGACTAAGAGATAAACTTTTTCTTTAAAGTTGTAAATTTTACTTTATTTTGCAAAGTAATTTTTACGCCTTATTTTTTTTTATGTACATTGAAAAATTATTTATTTACATCAATAAGATGCTTTACTCGATACACAAAATAAATTGCTTTGTTAAAAAAATTTTATAAAGTGCTAAAAATTGCTAAGGTACTTTTGTATATATTAGACGATCAAAAACTTCCAGAGATTGATCTCAGTGAAGCAAACTTGCACCTGTGTATTATTGTGCTTGTTAGCCCCACTAATTGGACTAGTCCAACGATTTCCAAAATGTGTACTATCCAAACAGTAATGGGATAAGTCAGTTTTATTCATTTATCATCGAAAATTGGATGTATATAAATGGAACTGAGTTATTGAAACTAAGTACCTAACCATCGGTCAAAAGGTCATTTTGTGATCTAAGGGCTGTCCAGACCAACATCTGGTTTGAGTGACCTTCAAAGCCGTCACTTAGTTTCTGCTGTCAGTTAGTATGATATATTTATTGATTATCACCCAATATAAAATGGTTTATGAAAATATTTTTAAATTTTTTAGATTATTTTCTCAAATTTATTGCTCTGACAGGTTAATTTAAAAGCTATTTCACTCAGGAAGGAAAAATTTTGAATTTATTTATGACATGAAAATATATATTATATTCGACACGATATTCAAACTTATAATAGTGATTGTGAATATTTTTTATTTTAATGACATATATTGTAATTAAAAGTAAGTACCAAGTAATAATAATGTTTTGATAAGCACCACTCAAGATCTTAAGATTTGTAATATAAATGTATTTAGATATTTTAGCCCTTGAATATTTGATAAATGAACCTCTTCTTAAGTTGCATCGTCACTGAGTCTTAGTTTGATATTGGAAAACTGGTGTGTAGTATATAAATATCAATATAATTTTGTTATAAAATTTGACGCTAACACGCACGAGATCGAATGCTGATAGTGCTGAGAGTGTCGATATATTCCAAGAGGGTAAAATGACAGGAAACTTATATATGGTAAAGCAACATGTACATAATTTCGTTATCGAAAGAGCGAAAAGTAAAGTTCTTTCCTCTTGTCGATGAAATTTTGATTGACATCGTGTTAATGGAATAAGTTTTTTTTTCAATATTCTAATAATTCATATTTAGAATCTGATAATGAATTTATAAAAATTCATATTCAAGTAAAAGCAAAATAGTATAGGGGGAGCTGTCAACTATTCGTGTGGTCAGAATAATGGAGCATTGCATATTAAATGTCATCAAATAACCTCAAGCGGTGCCATTAATTGTCGAGCTGGCTCTATGATTCGCATAACTATATATGAATGAGTATGTATGTGTATTTGTTATTACTCATTCGTTTTCTCTCTTTCTTGTTGACAGTAAACTAGAAGAGAAAATTTTATTTTCTGATGGTATACTAGAATAAATCTATGAATTTCTGCTGTATTTTAGTTTTGATAATTTTCTAGCTATCATTGAGAGAAATATAAAGTTGGATTTATTATAAATAGTTTGAAAAGGACTCAATTATTTTCTATCAAATGAGGAAATTAACACAGGATAGTAAATTTAACTATGAGACTCAACTATTAAATTTTGTCGAGTTTAGTATAAAAATACACGAGAAAAGGACGATCTCGTTTCGGAAAATATGTAACGATGAAAATTTTGACCTGGAAAAATTTAATATGATTTCATCAGACGGTGATCTTTCGAAACTTTTTTTTTATTCAAATAAATTCAATTTCTTTTTTGGGGTAATAAGTTAGAAAAAATGTTATTTACAAAATTACACTGTTGATTTTTTTCTGGTTCAGTATATGTTTTTTTTTTAAATTGAATTACTTATCAAATTTTTCAAGAGCAAAATTTCTCTGCATTACTAAGGAGATTTAGTTGCCTATGTAAATATTTTTTTTCATCCTCAAAATGGCAAATAAGATTAGAATGTTTCTCTTCATAACTTATTCACATATCTCGACCTATTTCATCAGACGAAAAAAGATTTTTATTTAGAAAAATAGTACTGAAATAAGATTGAATGATAAATTGATAAAGATTGTGGTAGATAGGGACGAAATTGGTATAGAGTAGCATAAAACGAGTAAAAGACAAATAGCTTGGGTTAGGAAGGCAGATTTATTCATTCGTGAGGAGGAAAATTTCACGTGCGCAACACCTGCGTTCCCATGGCTGCCTGTCGAAATTCTCACTCACATCCGTCTAGTATCCTCGTTCTCCAGGCAATCTCACTTCACACTACACCTACCCTCTGGCTATTCTCTGGTCGGTTAGTTGCTGTCCTCCGTTGGTCCAACTTTCTCAATGAAAATTGCATTAACGGAGTTTCCGTAGCTTCCCAACTTGCAGTTAAAGCCCAAATCGTGCCGGATGTGGTTTCATGGATGTATACGTTTTCTGTATAATGCTCATACTCATAGCTTATAAGCCGTCGTTATATATCACTCTTGAATTTATTAGAAACTAAGTATTCCAACTGTTCAACTAGTCGTGAGTACTTATTATTTAATTATTACATGGATGTTTGAGAATTCACTATGGATGCTTATGTATACAGATTAAACATTCCTTTTTACCATTTTGTTTCTATCTCAAAAACATGACTTTAGTAATTCATTATTTCTATCTACGTGCTCATATTATGTGAAAATAATTCATGGAAATTTTTCAGTATAACGACTGAAATAAATTTTTGTAAAGCAGATTTTTTTGAGATTTTTTTTTAAATTTTTCATTATATCATGTAATGTATGAAGTAACAGAAACACACTTATTCTATCTAATTATATTATAGAAAAATATAAATGATGTAACTTCTAAATAAAGTAAACATATTTCGAAACTGACTTCATTAAAACTAGATTTATATTAATTTGAATTTTTTTTACAATATTTTTTTTTTCTGCATACATTATACGGTTTGAGAAAAGATAGAAAAAAAAATTATTCTTCAATTTGAAAGAACTATTCTATAAATTTGAATTCATTAAAGTATAATATTTCTAAAGCAGAAAATGGATCGATAATTTTTTTAAAAAACTAAAGGTAATTTTAATGGGTAAAAAATTGCTCAGTTGTATGATTTATTTTGATAATCTCATCTATTTATCTTTCAATTTTATGTGATCGAAGATATCAATGGGTAGAGTGCAACCCTCTTACTGACCTCTGCCAATACAAACTTTGCTTCGTCTAACAGAAAGGTGCTTTCGTGCTCCAACGGTGAATACGTGATTTCATTTATGATACGAACTTACGATCGTTTGTATCTGTTGCAAATATACTTGAGTCTCGCTATATTACTAAAAGCAATGCGGTAAACTTCGTACAGTTTACCATTCCCTATCATCTGACAATTGAATATTGGATTCCTCAATTCTACTCAATTCACGAATGTACTTACTAAACGGAGAAAGTGGATTTCTAACAAGCGTAAACTTTTTGTCAGTTACATAAAATCTCGTGCTTCTACCTCTTACTGATTTTCTCGAATCATAGACATAAAATCTGCACAAGAAAAGAAGCGCACATTCTCCTCCCTTCCATTATCCACCTCCGGAAATGAGAATGAACAGCAGGAAATAGCATCATAAAATTGAACGCCTTTCTGGAAGTAAAAAAAGACTTCGTTGGGTGCAATTGTGGAAAAATTCAGCGAAAAAGTGAGTTACAGTGACTCCATCATCACCATTTTTTCCTCATTTACTTCTGGGTTTTGTTGCAGTAAAATGGAAAGGGTTGAAATATTTTAGTAATAATCACAATGAAAGAGTGAAAATTTTTTAGTCAAAAGATAATGAACAATACTAGTTGTATTATAGAAATATTTGATATTTATAAACTTTTGATTATTATTCATAAATTTTTTTTCTTTTAATATTGATTTCAATTGTAAATAATACTAGTGAGAATTTAAATGAGCTGTGAATAAAGAGCACAGGAAATTAAATTTTCAAGAACATTTCAATATTTACTTTATAAATAAGGAGATATTCTCAAATTGATTTTATCCAGTATGTAATTATTCATACTTTAACATGCATTATCATATTTGCAGTTCATAAAAACAGGTTTTTTAGATGAATAGCTATCTTATGGGGTGGAATTTTATGAG